ATGTCACAAACACGTCCACAGAGGCTAGGGATTGAATTGTCTTGTTTGATAATAGATAGAGTAATTTAGCAAAATCAATAATAGGATCATTTGAAATAAGCATAAATGATAATAAAACGATTATTTATTTTTTTCCAAACTTTATAATGAATACTAAAGAATGCGTACAACATTTAAAAATAGGAATTAAAACTAAAGGATATAATATGGTGGTTGGATCATTAAATCTTAGAAAAACAACTGGATTTATAAGAAAAAATGCAAAAATATTTTAGTGTTAAATTTAAATTAAATAATAAAAAATTAGAACTTATGTAAGGAACTAGAGCTATACCGAGTATAAAATTTAGCTCAGAATTACATGCAGGTACAGAATTGAATTTAAAAATATTTTTAGAAAAAAACAATATTAGTACCAAATGAAAGTACATCATATGTAAATCAAGATGGAACATTTAGTATGAGATTTTTAGATTATCAAACCAGACATAATAGAAATGAATCAGATGATCAAAATTAGAAGACAAAAGATGAAGATAAAAATGGAAGAGATTGATTTTGGCCAAATAAAAACATATAAACAGTTACAAAATTATGTAATTGATATGAAAACTTCTTATTCCAAATTACAAGAAAGATATAATTTTAAATTAGCATATGAAAATAAATTTAATCCTAATTTTGACTAGAAAACTATAGATTAAGTAAACCAACAAATGGAGTTAAGAGAAGTAATAGCTGAACCATCTAATATACCAAGGGTCAAACCGATACCACTATCAGGAGAACAAAATGGACCAGAAAGGTTATATAGACAAGGGACATCTAGAAAAGAATTTAATAAAGATAGTAATTATAATTATAAGAAAAATATAGAACCAGTAGAAAGAATAAATTTAATACCATCTCAAAGAAATGATACAATTTTAACCATTAATCTTAATAATCCTCAAATGTGGGAATTTGTAATTTCTACATGAGAATTTGATGCAGTAAGAGCTTGGGCAAATAGTGATAAAAGATGAGTAGTAGATATATATGCATGTCTTGAAATATTATTAGGAGAAACAACTGATAATATTTTTAATGAAGCTAAAGTTAGAAAAGCTGGATAAAAAAATCTTCAAGGCAATTAGGAGATAAACATCAAAGTTACGCTGTGAAGCGTGGTGGAGAAAAAATAAATAAATATACAAAAATTTTAACCTCCGAGATGAACCCATACGTTTCTGAATATTTGAGTAATTGTTATAAAAAAGAGAAAAATATCTACCTATCAAATACCAAAACCACTAGAAAAGATATTCCAATTAGCATAAGAGATTCAAACAATATGTGAGAATCCTTTAAAACATTGAGAAAGAAATAAAGAACTTGCAAATATACCAATTATTAATAAAGATTTAGTCTTAAGAAAAAAGGAATTAGAATATAATGCTTTAGATAAAGAAGAATTTAAAATCCAAATAAAAGAATTAAAAGATTTAAGATTAATTCAACCTTCTAAGTTAGAACATAGGTCCGCAACATTTATGGTTAGAAATCATGCAGAAATACTAAGAGGAAAAGCTAGAATGGTGATAAATTACAAAAAAAAAAAGTAAATGATAATACTCAAGATGATGGATATATAATACCTGATAAAGATATGTTAATTAATTTAATACAAGATAAAAAATATTTTAGCAAATTTGATTGTAAGTCAGAATTTTGACAAATAAAATTAGATAGTAAATCTATAAAATTTACTGCATTTACAACACCCATAGGACACTATGAATGATTAATTATGTCTTTTGGTAAAAAAAATGCACCTAGTATATTTTAGAGAAAAATGGATTATATTTTAAAGAAAAAACATATGCCACATGCCAAAAATATTTTAATAAAGAAGATATTAAAGTTGTGCAAAAAATAAAAGAGCAAGTAAAAAACTTACCAAAATTAACTCTACCATTAGAAACAGATTATAAAATAGTAGTAGTAGACGCCTTACAAGAAAGTGGGGAGTAGAAAAGAGTAAAATCTTATAATGAAGCTTATCTAAATATAGAAACATTATGTTGATATGCATCTGGAAGTTTTAGGCAACTACGAGAAAATATGACATCATTAGATTATGAAATATTAGGAGTAATCAATGCTTTACATTCTTTTAAATTATTTTTACAAAAAAAAATTTCTTATCAGAACAGATTGAGAAGCCATAGTGCATTTATAAAAAAAAAAAATGAGGACAAGATATATAGTAAAAGATGGGTAAATTTTTTAACTACGTTTGAAGGAAATTGTTATAATGTTAAATTCAAACATATAAAAGGAGAAAAATTTCTTGGCAGATTATTTATCTCGAGTGATCAAAACACCAATCAAAAACTCAAAAATCTTTGGATTTTAAACCTCCCTAGTAAGATAGTCTGATATTAATAGAAATGTAATTTGCTAGAAATGTAATTTGTAATAGCAAGAACGATCTTCAGATCTTTTAAATTAGAAAAATCTTAATAGAGAGAAATTTAATTTGATAGTCAAATATTGATAGAAATGTAATTTGTAGTAACACAAAGAATGATCTTCGAATCTTCTAACCTAGGAAATTCTTACTTATTATTTTTCTTGCAGGAATTTAACAAAAAATGCAGGCAAATCTAGTCCATTTTTGCTCTCTTGTTTTACCAAATAGGCAAGGGACAAATTTAAAATTTCGGCCAAGAGTGCAAATAAAAAAACCATTAAATCATTTTCAAACAATTCTATTAGACAATTTGTGGTGTAATAGAAGAGATCCTTCTGCAGCACTTAATATCCTAAATTGTTTAACTATAACATTTCTAGGAATTAATGATCCAATAGAATTCCTTCTAAATGAAACTAAAAGATTACAAGCTTTGGGACAAATATCACTCATTCCAAAAACTCCCACAAATTTACATAAAGTAGTAATTACCAATCATGAAATAAAAATTCAGCAACTTGAGAAAGAATTAAAAGAAGAAAAAGAAAAATATTCAAAATTACAAAAAAAGGATAATTAATTATTACAATATAACTAATACTTTTCAGAAATAATTCTAGAAATCTCAAAAGATAATCTGGAAAAGCAATTATAATATTTATATATGTTAGAGATGCTAGAAGCCATAAAAAATTAATTTTTTATAATTATAAAAAAGTAATAGAAAAAATGATATGATTGAATGCTTAAAAGAAATACTTTTTTCTTATACCTTAAATGAAACAATACATGACCAATCATATGTATCACAAAAATTAGTGAATGAAAATAATTGTTCATGCAATTTCTGTAAAAAGGGTTTTCATATGGTAACTACATCCTTACATTTAGCTTACTACACTTCAAGTGGCATGGGCTTATGATGGGAAACCTTGATGATTTGTGTTTTCTAATTATAGTTCTTCTAATCTTATTAGGTTTTTAATTTGAATCTAATTCACGAACTATATGGTATTGTTTTGTTTTGATAGTCAACTGGTCATTATTGTTCTACCGAATGGTGACTTTATTCTGTAGATGCATTATTTTTATGTCGTTTTTCCACCGTCTTTCATGAATGAGACAGTTGTTTTTTAAGGTCAATCTGTGTGTTTCTTAAGATTCTAGTTGAGTCTAAAATATTTAGATGGTCGATGTTTAATGTGATTAAATTATCAAAGATGACTCTAATTTTATCCACAATTAGAGCTACACCAATTATATCGTGGATACTTTCATTTTGCATTCTGTCTCCAACCGTCAAGTCACTCATCTACCTAAGCATTCTCTAAAATTTGTTTTATGCTAAATTTTTAATATATTATTTTAATATCTAAATTTTAAATATATTAACCACCTTACTCATTATAAAATTTGATGAATAATCAACACATATTGCTTATTATCACAAAATTTGTTGAATAATCGGCACGTACTGATAAAAGTAACTTATTTTATGTTGTTTCTTCCTTGTGAAGATTTATATTGTGTTTTGAACTATTGTATAAAATTTGCTTTTGAAAAATTTATATATAAAATTATTAATTAATTTTTTTAAAATAATAATTAATATAATAATTTTATATTATAACGAGACAATTTCGAGCTGAGCACAAATACAATGTTCACGAGCTATTTCGAACACGAGCTAATTTCGAACACGAGCCAATTTCGAATGAGCCTAACACGAACGGTTGAGCTTAAATCGGTTTGTTTACAGCCCTAATGGAGGCTGCTTCAATTGGAAAAGTTCGATGCTGTCCGGTTGGGAGCGCTAAATGCTATTCTTATTTGTGGTGTTAGCTTGCATTCCTTAAATTGTCTTCCAAGATTATCTTACATCTTCATCCGCTAATTAGCTTAGTTTGAGCTCCTTCCTGTTTAGGAGTTTTTTTTTTTTTAATTTATTTATGTTGTCTTATCTTTTATTTTTTGTGGTTAGTGTTTTATTATTTATTATTTGAATTTATATAAATAAATTTGGGTTTGATCATTATTTCCAAAAAATAATAAAAAAAGGTCACGATTGGCTGTTTCATGAAAAACAAATTTCTGTAAAAGTGGCATCCATTGGCCACGGAGCTAACAAGGCTGCTAATCAAAGGCTACAATCATACCGTACAATTATTATATATAAGACTATTGCAGCAATAATAGCATGACGCAAGCAATGAGGTAAATGCCTAAACCCGTGCATCACACGCAAACCATGAGCTGGCGATAACTACGCAAAACAAATCTTCCTCGCATCCAATTGGTCAAAACTGCACAGCCTTATGCAACGGCTGATCTTGCTCCAAGCTCTCAATAAATACCCAACTCCCCTACCATGTTTTTCAGCGCTAGGGTTTCGGCCTATCTTTGTTTTCCGGTCGGCAGCGTAATTTAGCTCTCTCTCTCTCTCTCTTCCTAGAAATCTTAATGAATTAGTATTACAATGATGGGATGTCATGTATTAAATGACTTAAAAAAATATGATGGATCATTTAAAACGTGGCTTTCCTATCTTTTCGTGTCTGGTCAGCGGAGGAATTTGCTATCTCCCTCTCTTCCTCCTTTTCGTTTTTCTGTACGGAAGGCGTGGGCATGTCGCCCTTCGTTATCCGATGGGGGCTTTTCATCTCCTTCGGCGATATCTTCGGCCCGTTTGATCGATCTGCTATTCTATATTAATCTTTTTTCGCTAGATCTGTCCCTCTTAAAAGTTTTTCAGGATTCCTTTTCACTTTGCGTTTTATTTTTTGTTATATATCTTCCCACAGTGGCGGCTGATGAGTTCTTGCGTTGCGATATGGTGTCAGATTCCTTAAGTTCGCGTCTAAATTAAGTGGAATGAGGCCGATCTATTGCAGTTCCGCCAGATCTCTTTTTCTATCGGGAAAACCCTATTGTTTCTTTTTTATTTTTAGATCTGTTATTTTCGTGCAGATGATTTTATTTTGATTTTGCGTTGTTTTTTTATGAATTCTCATTCTACAGTTGCTGGTAACAACTGGGTGGGGTGTTCGATACCTTGATGATGTGATCGGTATATCGAGGAGGCGTTTCAACAGTATCTGTTTGACATGATCTTTTCGGCAAAATCAACCTGTTTTTTGGAACTCTTTTCTGTTTTCCTTGAATCGTTATCTAATTATCATCAAATCATCAACTTTTTTTTTTTTATTTTTAATTTTCTACTGCAGTTCCATTTGATGACTTTGGGGTCGGTTAGGATTTCAGCATGTTCATTTCTTCGCGGCGTTACGGAGATTGAGGCCGATTTATTGAAAATCAGACAAGACTTATTTACTTTCGGGAGATACTTTCTGCCTTTTGTTTAAATTGTTCATTTCGTTTGGTTTGCTTGTGCGAGAAATATTATGTGACTGCTACATAGATCTGATACGTTGTTATTTTGTGTTTGTCTTATTTTAAACTGCAGTTTCTTGAAAAAATTTTGAGGTCGAAAGCCTATGTCCTGTGATAGTCTCGGCCAACTGATACCCATTTTTCTTCAATCAGAGCTGATACTTTAGGCTATTCATTCAACCTTTTAAACACCTTTTTCACTTGCCTAATAATTTTTCCGTAGACTTTGTTGAATTTATGTTTTTGAGGGGGGTTTGTTGTCAGGGTACTTGGTTCTTTATGTTGGTGAGGATGAACGCAAGTTTGGCGCAGCTTAAATCGGTTTGGTTAACTTTTTTTATTCATCTTTATCGTTTTTTTTTTCTTTTTTAATGTCTGGGGTTCGTTTGCTTGACAAATTATGTTTTTTTTGGAATATTTGGATTGTTTTTTGTTTAATTTTTATTTTGCAGCACTGCATGCTGATATGAAAGGTGCCAGTCTCCTCGATTCATTGTCCATTATTCTGAGAAGGATGTCGGGCTGCTGGAATTCAATCTAATTGGAGGGAAGATTCTAGCTTGCCGACGCAATGTTATTACGCTGTTCTCTTGTCTCCTCAGTGTCGTTGAAATATTCGCTTGGGGCTATTGTTCTTATAGTATAGATGTAAACGTTGAGCACAAGTGAGAATCGAGAGGGTAGTAGATACACTTACGAGAAGTGAAGGTACGACATATGTTGAGGGCATGATCAATTCTTTCTGATGTCGGCCTTTGCCATGTTGGGCGAGCTCGCATGGCAGGTCAAACATATAATAATACAGTTATTTTCTGTTTTGCGGGGCGTACGGGATAATCCTTTATCCCGGATTCTCCTCGACTGTGGCTTTCTTGTCTTGTGCCTTGCTGAACTCAAAACGTCGTCTCTTTTGATCAATTCCCCGCGCAGCGTAATTTATGGAGGTACATGTCTACGTGCGTTTGTCATTCAAGTTCATGTGGAACGTATTAAAATTTTCGTATTCGTTCATCGCAAAACATTTTAATTCAAGCCCTCGCTGCGCCCTTCATAATCAAAAAGCTGTTTGAAAAGATTTATCTTAAAGAGGGTGGCAGTAAATCACCTGGCTACAGATTTGTCGGTTAGTAGATAAGCATAATGTTTTGTTAATAGTAATCTATTTATCTAAGTTCAGGAACTGTGATATTTATGTATCAATTGTTTTGTTAGTACCTAAGGATTTTGGGTGTTCCGGTTATCTTGGGCGATGGAAATACGGTATGTTTTCTACGATGCCAGGCCTTGTTCATATTACTAGATGTAGATGACAAATTCTGGTTATAAGTGGCGTAACTGTTATTCTGAAAGTATCAGGGGAGCTAATTTTGTCTGGCATAACAGTTATTTTGAAAAGAAGCAAGACTGCGGCTCGCAATTTAGTTCATCAGTTTGGGTCTTTTTCGTGCCGACATCTATGCAAAAGGCTATGCCTCGCAGTTTAGTTCATCAGTTTGGGTCTCTTTCTTGTTGCATCTATGCATCCAGGGGGTTTTCTAGAGAAGATCTACACAGTCCTTTTGAATCAGTGCTCGACATTTTGAAGTTGATTGATTACATTTCAAGTGGCATGGGCTTATGACGAGAAACCTAGATGATTAGTGTTTTTTGCTTATTGTTCTTCCAATCTTTTATTAGATTTTTAATTTGAATTATAATTCACGAGCTAGATGGTATTTTTTTTGTTTTGATAGTTAATTGGCTAGTATTGTTCTACCGAATAGTGGCTTTGCTCTGTAGATGCATTATTTATTTTGTTGGGGAGTTCCTTTGAAACTATTGTTGTAATCAGAATATTAAGAGTGACCTAACATTTTGTCGTATGTCTAAAGGTTTTTAAGTCATTCAACGTTAAAGCTGTTGTTGTTTCTAGCATGTTTTCTAACTTAAAACATCATTTGTGGTAAGAACAGTTTACAAACGTCTTTCACTCTTGAAGCATGATGTTACTTATTCATAAGATTTTGTGGTTGGTGCTGTTGTTAAGTTTTTCATTGGTAGGCTGATTGATATATTAGTAAATTAAAAAAATTGGTTAATATTATATGTTTAATCATTTTTTTTCATTATAGTTATTTTTTTATCCGCTAGTAAAATTTTGAGTTGTTAAAAAGTTTACATATCTCTGTGACAACAACAATAAGAAGCTTTTGTCAGTAGTTGAATCGAAAAACTTAGTTCTTGTAAGTAAATCATCACATGGTCGATGTTTAGATTGATTAAATTATTAATTTTTTCCACAATTAGAGCTACACCAGTTATATCACCTATTGAACATCTCTAAGCATTCTCTTAAAAAGTTTGTTATAATGAATAAGGTGGTTAATATATTTAAAATTTAGATATTAAATAAATATCTTAAAAATTTAGCATAAAACAAATTTAAGTTTCAAAGGTTTAGAAGAGCTTTTGTGATGAGAGCTTTAAAATTTATAAATAAAAAACATTTTAATATAGAGTGCCTTCATGCCCGCCCTAACAGACACCTGTTATTGTTGACCACTACTACTCGACTACGAGCCATTCTAACTTTTGGCCATTCTAGCTGTGATTTTCTGCCGTTTGTAAAATTTTATGCATTTAAGATAAAAAACACTATTTGTTAATTAAGAATGAATTGGGAGAAGAAATATAAGATATGATTAATTAACTTATTGAACTCAATTATCTTCTAATACAGCAGCTCTACTATATTCCAACCGACCTCTCCGAGCACTTAACAGTGCCAGAGATTTTTTCCACCATTAAATTTGAGTGTATACATAATTTTGTACTCTCTCTTTTGATTAAAATCTGCAATTTAGTAAATCTTATCTGGCCTAGGATTTAATTGATTTAGAACAAGTGACAAAGTCCCGAACATGCCTACAAGTACATGTCTAAAAGAAGAAAAAGATGTCTCGTCCCCTTCAGAGCCATTCCCCAAGAAAATCGTCCCCTTCAGAGCCATTCCCCAAGAAAATCTTCTTGTCACTTTTTCACCTCTGTTTTGCTGTCCAAGTTATATATAATCACATATGGAAGTAAATAAATCTATCTTTGTTAAATAATACTTAAAATATTATTGAGTCGGTGTAGAGTCGGTTACATGAATTCTTTTTCTCTATTATGTCCTATTGAGTTTCATATTTTCATTTAATTCTAATTGATTGAGATCATTTTTTATACAATAATATGCTAAAGACTTTTTAGGTCTACCTATATTTTTCTTAATATAAGTCTCTAAGTGTCAAGCTAGTCATCCATCTAAGCATTCTCATCTCAACAACCCTTAACTTTGTTTTATGCTTCTCTTTTAATGGCCAGCATTCTGCGCCATAGAGCATTGCATGTCTCACCACCGTCTTATAAAATTTTCTTTTAAGTCTATCCATTACTTTTCTATCAAACAATAGGCCTGATGCATTCCTCCACTTCAACCAACCAACTTAATCTAAAGTTTTCACATCTTTAATAATTTGATCACCCGTAATTAAAACTTGGTCACTAGAGCTACTACTACTACTACTTTCATTGTAAACTTGTCTGACATGAATCCAAACTAATTTTGAGAAAGTTTTGTATCATGTTATAACCTTCATTCAATTACTCTCTCCCAAATTTTTAATGTGTGACATATTAACTTAATTCCTCTATAATTTGCAAACTATAGTGCATTCTCTTTATTTTTAAAATTAGGAACCAATAAAATCTTTTTCACCCATCATACACCCCTTTAAGTTTTTAAAATAATATTAAGAAGTTTACCCAAAAATTTCTAGATATTCTAAACATTTTCAGACTTCTATTCGAATGTCATCAGATCATACTAGTTTTCCATACATTTTCTTATGGCTTACTCAACATCTATTTTATTAATATAATGATAGAATTTAAAAACTTTGTTATTATTTATGATATTAAGATCATTAAAGTCAATTGTATTTATTTTCACAATCTTCATTGAAAAGTCTATCAAAATATCACACTCACTTATGTCAAATATCCTCACCTAAGAAAGCACTTTTTAACTTTCATCATTAATACACATAACTTAAACTAAACTTTACTTTTCTTATCTTTTTGCTTAGCTTGTGTGTGTGTATCACCCTCTTTAGTATCTAATATATTATAAGAATCACAAAAAGTAAATTTCATAGTTTACAAATTGTTCTCTTTGATTTTGTATGTCTCAAATTATATTTTTCCTAATCCTCCAAGATCTTATATCTAAAATAATTTCTATAACAATTTTTTTTGTCTTTTCTACATATCATTATTTTACCACAAACTATATTTATTCACAATAGTTTTTTCATTTTGATTCTCCAAACATATCTTTTCCGACTTGCTTAATACTACTCATTATTTTATCCCACATAGTATTAACATCTTCATAAACATTTCAAATCTTAAGTTCTTGAAATTTAGTCATAAAAATAATTTTATTTGTATCTTTTAAACGCATTTATCTAATTTTATGACAATATTTCATTATATTTTTCTATCTTACAAGTCTTCATCTTAAAATTGAGAACTAATTATTAATGTTGAGTATTTAAATTTTCACTTGAAATGACCTTACAATCTTTACATTCTCGACGGTTTTTTTTTCTTATAAGAAAATAATCAATTTTTGTTTTATTAGATCCATTCTTATAAGTAATAATATGTATTTTTTTTTTCTTAAATAAAGTATTAGCAATAACAAAGTCATACGCCAAACTAAAATCTAATGTAATTTCACCTTCATTAATCAATCTAACATGATAGCCACCATGAATATTTTTAAAATCTTTTGTCACTCTACCAACATGTCTATTTAAATCTCTTCCAATTTGGGCTATAATTTTATCTCTAATTTTATTAATTTTTACAATATTATTTTTTAAATTCTTATTTATAATTATATCTATATAATTTCTGGTGCGAGTCTTACCTGAATACCAAAGTTTAAAACATAAATTATTCATTTGCTTAGCATTTTCTCCAACCCTTTTAATTTATTGAATGTATATATATTTCTTCTTACGAATCATAATATTTACTACTTCTATTAATTTCAATAACAATTTTTTGGACCAATTTGGGCTATAATTTTATCTCTAATTTTATTAATTTTTACAACATTATTTTTCAAATTCTTATTTATAATTATATCTATATAATTTCTGGTGCGAGTCTTACCTGAATACCAAAGTTTAAAACATAAATTATTCATTTGCTTAGCATTTTCTCCAACCCTTTTAATTTATTGAATGTATATATATTTCTTCTTACGAATCATAATATTTACTACTTCTATTAATTTCAATAACAATTTTTTGGACTATAATTTTATCTCTAATTTTATTAATTTTTACAACATTATTTTTCAAATTCTTATTTATAATTATTTCTATACAATTTCTAGTGCGAGTCTTACCTGAATACCAAAGTTTAAAACATAAACTATTAATTTTCTTAGCCTTTTTCCAACCCATTTAATTTCTTGAATGTATATATATTTCTTCTTACAAATCATAATATCTACTAATTCCATTAATTTAGGCGTGAGTGTACTTATATTCCAAGATCCTATCCTAATATTAGTTTTATGAACTAACTTTTTACTCGCATTCATTCGTAATGTGAGAACTTTTGTCTATTTGAAACTATTCCCAAGCGCCGGTGTAGCGGCCCTTGCATAATTTTTGCACTATATTCATGTTATATAGTGTGTTACTTCCAGTGGACGCCCTAACATTTACACAAAGATTTAATGAATTCATATCATGATTATTTGACAAAAATTTATGTTGGTGGTCAACTTTGAATATATTTTGGGTTATGTAAATGGATGCTGTTGCTGAGTTTGTCCTGTAACCTGATACAAGTGAGCTTTTTAGTTTTAGATGAAGAGCTATGTGCAGTTTCTAATTAATAGAGTCCATGTGTACCACTTGTTTGGGTGAATTTGTTGTCCAAGTAACGCTCAATTAGTTGCTTGGTTCATTACTTGTAGAACATGTGAAATATATTTAATTTTGGGTAGAGTTGGGCGTGATATCAACTCGAGTTTAGGGCAAGTTAAACTCAATTCAGACACAGAATCCAGATCATTTTAAGTCAACTTGGCCTCATTTGAAGTGATTTGATTTTCAGTTGATTTGAATTTATTTTTAATTAAGTATAAATACTAAAATATTTATTTTTCTTACCTCATGCACTCTATATAAATATTCAATCCAAGCTAAGTTTTGAACGATTCAAATATTTCAGTCTTTGATTTCTTCATCTTCCTCATCTTCTAGATTCTTTGAGTTCTTCGCCTTCGTGCTTTTATTGCGCTTTATTTGTTCTCTTTTCTTGCATCCAAACTATGTCTCCCTTATTGTTTGTTCTGTTGGGTATTGTTTGTTCTGTTGGGTTGAAATATTAGATATAGAGGGTGGTAGAGAAAGAGAGAGGGATAGATAACATCTAGCTGAAAGGGAGAATATTGTTGGAAAGGCCTTTGGCTGGATGTGAGAAAAAGCTTTTTCGATTACTTGATGGAATGAATGAATAAAAAATGTCTTGGATCCTCATATATCAATATAAGTGATGCGTGCTAGAAAATTCGCGGCGGTAGAGTAATGGATTATCGTCTTAGCGTTGCACGAGGATTCAATACACACTTAGATGAAAGAGAATCAATATGTAATGACACCAGAAGATTTTGC